AAAAAAAAAAAAAAAAAAAAAAAAGAACCTATTGCTTCCTGTGCTTGCTTTGCCTTCCTCTTCCTACTGGCAAAGGTTAATCCTGAATGTGCTATGACAGGGATGCCACTTTCTTTTTCTGGTATTTCCAACTCCACCCCTGTCTTTATACCCATAAGTATGAACTCAGTATCAATTTTATCTTTAAAACATACCATTCCTCAATCCAACACCTTCGTTCCCGTTGTTTTGTTCTCTTCTTCCCAGCAAGAGAAGTCTGTCTGTACCTTTCTCTTTAGATGGCTCTCACTGTTGTTTACTCTGTGTGGCCCACCCCCATCCCTGCTTAACTTCTTCACTGCATTTTACACTGCAGACCATTCCCTTTCTATCAAAAGTTGTATCTGGCTTTTGTGACTGTATTATCTTCTGAATCTCTTCCCATCTTAATTTTGGTCCTCTTCTTGCTCCATGAACTCAAACTGGGTAAAACTGACATTTATAACAGGACAAAGTAGGCAGAATAATGTCTAGTATGTTAGCAGACTTCTAACAACCACTGCAGCATACAACTGGAATGCAAAACCACACAACAGCACTGGGAGCGAGCTCGGCAGGACAGCACTTACCTATGCATAAGGTCCTAGGTTTAATGCTTATACCACACAATAAAACACTATCTAACCAACTTTCACATCACATACACACAGAAGAAAACATAAAATATACTTAATGGCTATGGAACATAATTCTGGCTATCATTTACTGATCTATGCCAATTATTAAAGGAGAAGCTTTGTATATAGTATGCTAATCTAACAATTTCCTATAAGTAATATCCTTGTTAGGAACTGTGGTACCTGTAGCTACTCCAAAGGTTAAGACAGGCAGGTGGTAAGTTTAAGGTTAGCCTGGCAACATAGGAAGACCTGTCTCCAAACAAACCACAAATGAAAGAAAGAAAGAAAGCCAGCCAGCCAGCCAGCCAGCCTGGGGCCGGGGAGATAGCTCAGTAGAATAAGCACTTGCATGGCAAGGACAAGGTCCTGAGTTCAATCCCTGGTACCACAAACCAAAACCAAAAAAAAAAAAAAAAAAAAAAAAAAAAAAAAAAAAACCAAAAAAAAAAAAAAAAAAAAAACAAACAAACAAACCAAAACCAAAACCAAAACCACCCCTAAAAGACCAGTTTGGGCCACAAAAAATAATATCCCTATTTATTTATTTAGGTCTTTTTGAGACAGGATTTCACTATATAGTTCAGGCTGGACCTGAACTTACTTTGTAGCCCTAAACTCACTCTGTAGCCCAAAGTGGCCTCAAATTTACAGTGATCCTCCTTTCTCGGTCTCCTGAGTGCTGGGATTACAGCAGTGTACACTATGCCCAGGTAACATCCTTATTTGTTAATGAGAAAACTAAGCCTCAAAAATTTGGTTAACTTGGCTAGTCATTTAGCTAGTAAATACTAGAGTAACGGTGAGGTGAATCTATGTCTTCTGTACTGTTTATATCATTGAAAGCTCTGAAAAATTCGCCATCACTGATGCAGATCATACTACATTTTAAGATTAAACATACTATTACGTTTAAAGGTCTCTCACTGTCAACATATAGGCTTCTGGCCATTTGTATTTAAAGGTTAAAAAACTAAAATGTGTAAATATCCTCTAAACACACAGTATTGTCTCTTCCTGGTGAGACTGCTAACTGGGATCAAGTAAATAGCTTAGCCTCAAAACACTGTTCCTTATGCTCACTTTGGCAGCAGGTATAATAAAATACAGATCCTCTCACTGTTTAACATAAACCAAGATGTTTCCCAAGGGCTTTAATTACCTGGGTCCCAGCAGTCAAGAACTGTTGTTAAAGCACTGCGGAGAAGGTCTGTCCAAGCAGAGTGGCACTTTTCTGCGCGGGCCATGGGGGAAGATAATATTCCTTTCAGAGCCTGGAGGGAAGCTGCAACTGTGGGGGATAACTGCCCCCCAGGTAATTTCACAGCAGTTTCTCTAAGGACACCAACTGTGAGGTACAATATAGTAGGGAGAATTGAGATGCTTCCTGTAAGATAAAAAATGTAAACATATTACATGTAGATGCTGAATCCAGAATATTTTTAAGAATATATATAGAAGCCAGACATGGCAGCATATGCCTATAATTTCAGCACTTATGAGACTGAAGCCAGAGGATTGCTGTCAGTTTGAGACCAGTCTGGGTTACTTAGTGAATTCCAGGCCAGCCTGAACTATACAGTTAGACCCTGTCTCAAAACAAACAAATATGGGGAGATAGCTCAGTAGAATAATTGCTTGCCTGGCAAGCGCAGGTCTTGAGTTCAATCCCTGGTACCACCAAAAAACCCCAAACAAATATATAAACAAACAAACATAGAAAAAAATCATCCTAAAAAAAAATCAATTTCTTGGGGCTGAGAGTATAGTTTGGTGGTAGAGAACATACTTAGTATACTCAGGCTCTGGGTTTGATGTCAACACGTGCACACACAGATTCACACACAGATTATTTTTCTTAGAAATTTGTAACTATTAATATTATATAACTTTGTCTTATTTTTTGAGATAGGGTCTCACTATATATATTCCAGGATGGCCTTGAAGTCACTATGTAGTTCAAGATGGTCTTGAATTTACAGTGATCTACTTAGTCTAAGACAAGTGGGTTCTGGAATCATTGGCATGCATTATAAGACCTGGCCTAATTTAAATAACTTATTAAGACTATTTAGGTTAAAAGATTTTAACCCATTAGAACTGGGGTGATAGTTCGGCACCAGGTGTGGTGGTGCATACCTGTAATCCCAGTGCTGGGGAGGCTGAGATGGGGGAATTACTGCAAGTGTGAGCTACCTAGTGAGGCCCTATACCAAACAAACGAACAGCAGAAGATTTTAACTCATTAAAAAGATTATTCAGGTTTTATGATAGCGAAAATGCAGTACTATGGAGTGCACCTAAGGCTTTCCACACTGAGCTGCCCCTCCAGCTTTGTTTAAATTTTATGTATTTATTTGTGTGTTTGAGACAAGGTTTCACCATGCAGTTCAGGCTGACCTTAACCTTACTTTGTAGTCAAGGCTGGCCTCAAACTTGCAGTGATCCTCCTGCCTCAGCCTCCCAAGTGCTGAGATTACAGGTATGTGCTACCATGCTTGGCTAACCCTTTTATATTTTGCGATAGGCTCTCCAATTTGTAATCGTTCTTCTTCAGTCTTCCAGAGTGTGGGATACAGGTGTGTGCCATAATGCCCTGAGAAGGTTGGATGGCACAATTGGAGATATATTTAAAATTATTTATTATCTTTTTCTGCAGCACTGTGGATGGAACCCAGGGCCTTTGCACTGAGGTATATCCTCAGACTTTTAAAAAGTTTTTATTTTGAGATAGGGTCTCACTAAATTGCCCAGGTTGGGCTTGAATTTGTGATCTTCCTGCCTCAGCATTCCAGAGTGCTGGGACATTAGGTATGTCTGGCTCTCCACAGGATACTTAATTTTACCATAGCATTATTATGCTGTCTTTTTTGTTTGTTTGTTTGTTTTTGAGGCAGGGTCTTGCTATGCAGTTCAGGCTGGTCTTGAAGATACTTTGTTGCCCAGGATGGCCTTAAATTTATAGTGATCCTCCTGCCTCAGCCTCCTGGGTGCTTGAATTACAGGTATGTGCTACCACACCTGGCCTCAATTTGTTTTATTTCGTAGTGTATAATTTACTTTTTTTTTTTTTTTTTTCAGTATCGGGGATTGAACTCAGGACATTGCATTTGCTAGGCATGTGCTTATTTTACTGAGATATCTGTATCTCACTATCTCACCAGGCCCCAGTAGTGTATAATTTACTTTGTGCTGTGATAAAGCATAAATGATAAACTCAATTATTTTTGATCATTTATAGGTGTATAGTCTAGTGTCATTATGTCTGTTCACAACATGGTATAACCACTAGTTCTATTTATGTTAATTTTATACTACTTATCAAAGAATATGTGGAGATCTACCAATTAAAAATATTAAGTTTTCATGGTAAGGAGTTGAATAGTTCTAAGTTTAAAATGAATGTGAAGAAACTAAATCTAAAATGATGTAATTTTCCTGAGGCCCTCTCAGCAAAATCAGTACCATGCGTTTTTCTCCCTAATCTTATGCTAGTCACTGTTCCTGCAACTCTTGGTATAAGATTGGGTGAAAACAGGAAGTTTGAATTCAAATTGAAGTTTAAAGTCATTAGGCTAAAAATAAGCACATAAACTGATCAAAATACATTTAAGCATTAATATTCTTACCAATTAAGTATCTGTTAAGTTCTAAATACTTATTACATGCTATATAGAACATACAATATTAAATTGGAGAGAAGGTACATTATCTTTCATATAAAGAAATGACATGTAATACCTCTATAACAGATAACTACATACCTATAAATAGAAATTATATATACACACACTTATTCCATAAACCTCAGAATTATATATATATACACACACCTATTTCATAAACCTCAGTACAGAGTTGAGTCTTCTTTTTTTGCAATACTGGGAGTGAACCCAGGGTCTTATACATGCTAGTTATGAATGCTACCTCTGAGCTATAACCCTGTCCTTTGTGTTGAGATAGGGGTTGTTAACTGGTCCAGGTTGGCCTCGAACTTGAGATCTTCCTATCTTAGCCTCCTTAGGAGCTGGGATTGTAGATACATGCTACTGTGCCTGCCTGAGCTTTTGTTTTTCAAGGAATTCTTCATAGATGGGTTAGGCCCAGAGTTGAACTACTACTATTATCTATCTATCTATCTATCTATCTATCTATCTATCTATCTATCTATCTATCTATCTATGAACAATTGAACCCAGGGTCTCACATATGCTAGGCAAGTGCTCTATCACTTAATTATAGCTCCAGGTCTCCAGTTGAACTGAAGGATGAAAATTAAAAAAAAAAAAAAAGTATGAGAGTAGTTAGGATCAAGTAATAGCACAGATAATGGTATAGAGAAGGCGATCATGAAGTCTTCTATGTTTAGAATTTACATAGCCGGAAAGCAGAGATTCAGGACAGCTTTATGGAGAGCTGTAAAAACTATGTTAATTATAAAGTATAGACTTGGGGCTGGAGGTGTAGCTTAATGGTACAGTGCTTGCTTAGCATGCATGAGGTCCTGTATTCAGTCCCCTGCACAGGGAGAGAAAGATTAGCAACTATGGTCCATTATTTACTAAAGCCATTTTTCTTCTTTCTTGGTCAAATAAAGTAATCACATACTACAGCATACCTTCTGGAGAGCACACTGCAGGAAGTTCAGAGAGGATAACCAATGCAGCTGAAACCAACTGGCTTCCTTCTTCGGACAGAATCTGTGGCTTTGTCGCTCTCACTTCTGGAGTACCTGTCAACTTAGGGTTTAGTTCTGGGAGCTGTCTAACTAGAATGCATACACACAATTCCAAAGTTGCAAAGACCAAAGACTTTCCAGGCACAAGTCCTCCTGTGTCTTTTCCCTCTCCAAATTCTGGAAGAGTTTCCTTTTCAGTAGCCCCATCATCAACTAAAAGAAAGAACAGTACTTAATAAATACTTCGTGCTTATTTTGCTTCTGGCAAAGGCAATAATTCATTCCTGTTATAGGTAACTTTTTAAAAAATAGGTAACAGTTAATGGCTAAAATTATGGATTAAGGCTGAAGGAGAAAGCAGTTATGGAGGTATAAGTAATTATCTTTCTGATAATTTATTATGGCAATAGATTAAAAAAATCCTTATAATCCCATCAGCTTTAAAATCTTTCCTATTTAACTCATTCTTATTGTTAAGAATATAAGCACTTTAGCTATTAGTAGTGGCTAAGCCCAAAGATAGGAACCTAGGTCCTTGATGTTTTTTTTAAAGCTGCCATATCAGCCCTACCAGTGGACCCCCTATCTCTGGACTTCTTGTTAGATAGGAGAATAAAAACCTTGTATTTTAAAGCTACTATTGAGTTTTCTATTATATATAGCCAAATATAACCTTAAATAATGAACTCACCAATACATTAGACATATAAACAAGCAACCTGTCAACCTGAAACATTACAAAATTATCAGTAGTTTTTGTTATGTACATCAGTAAACAGAGCTAAAATATTCTAGAAAGTATGATTTTTTTCTTACAAAATTTTGCTAAATTATTGCTTTCCAAAAAAATAGTGCTAATGTGCAATTAAAATATGAGAAGATTTATTTATTTATTTTTGGTACTGGGGATCAAACTCATGATCCTGCCTTTGCCAGGCAGGCACTTATGCCAATGAGCTATCTCCCTAACCCCAGCATGAGAAGACTTAAGGCCATGGCTAGGATGTTACATTTGTCCTATATACGACAGACAGCATAACAATGCTATGTGGCTGGCTTAGAAGGGTTAATGATTACCTTCTGCACTTCGTCTTTTTTCCTTGACATGTTCTTGAGCTGCACAAATGATCTGCCTTACCACTTCAAGTGAAGCCAACTGAATGGAAGGTGATTCTCTTGTCAAAATTACTCGATGCAGTACATTCAGCAACTCAAGACCCAAGTTCTATCACAGAAACATACAGTGGAAACTATATGAGAAACTATGCACTATTTTCAACATTGCTCTCTGACAAAAGTTCAGAAAAAGGGGCTGGGGAGATAGCTTAGAATAAGCTCTTGCCTGGCAAGTGCAGAGTCTTGAGTTCAATCCCTGGTACAACAAAAAAAAAAAAAAAAAGTTTAGAAAAAATAAAGATACTGCCTAGCATGCATGAGACCCTGGCTTCAATCCTCAGGAGTCTAAAAATAAAGAAAAAAAAGATGTCCACACAAAAATGCTTTAAACTAATTCCAGTCTGCTTTTAGTTCCATCTTTGGCACTAAAAGATCAATTTCATCCAGATTCTAAACTGGGAAAAAATAAATTTCCAAAATACAATGGAAAAAGCCGGGCATGGTGGAGCACCTATAATCCCAGAACTCAGGAAAGTAAAGCAGAATGATCACTGCAAGTTTGAGATCAACCTGGGCTCCAAAGTGAGCTAGAGGCAAGCCTGAACTGCATGGTGAGACCCTGTCTCAAAAAGACAAAAAACAAAAAGCTCCAAAACCAAACAAATGAAAAAAACTAAAAGGGAAATTTGGCTAAAGAATACAAGAGTTGAGACTGGGCATAGTGGTGTGTGCCTATAATCCCACCTCTTGGGGGGCTGTAAACAGGCGGATCACTACGAGTCTGATCTAGTAGTGAGACCCTCAACACCTTGTAGATCCATCTCTAAAAATACAAAAAAATAAAAATAAGACTACAAGAGCTAATACACTACTTCTTATATTTTTTTTTAGTGTTTGTACTTTTTTGCGGAACTGGGGATCGAACTCAGGTCCTTGTGCTTGCCAGTCAAGCACTTATTCTACTGAGCCATATCCTCCGACCCTGATTCTTACATTTATATTAAGGTTTTGTGTAATAGAAAAAAAAATGAAGCAGCTGGGCATGTTGGTACAAGCCTGTAATCCCAGTACTCTGAAGGCTGAGTTGGATCACTGCAATTTTAAGGTCAGCCTGGGCTACATAGAGTTCAAAGACAGCTACATACTGAAACCTTGTCTCAAAAAATACAAGAATGAGGGGGAGTTATGGCACTAAAATGGATGTCTTTGTAATGAACAAAATCACTTGGAGAAATGCTATCTCTTTTTATTAGTTACTTTGATCACTTTCCTTTTGAGAGGGTGGTTGAGACTACGTCTTGCTATGTAGTGCAGGCTGGCTTTGAACTTGATTATGTAGTGCAGGTTGGCCTCAAACTCACCAGTTCTCCTGCTTCAGCCTCCTGAGTACAGGGATTACAAGCATGTGCCACCATTACCAGTAATAACTTTCTTTCATTTTTGAAGATAGCAATAAATCTACTAGTATGGTTCTTTTAGTATGGTTCTTTTAACATACAGAGAAAACAGTTAAAAGATTTACTCATGTCCAGTTCAAGTTAAGTAAGAGCTTGACTAATGCTTTAAATATAATACAGTGTTAAATATCAGTCTATGTAGAAAGGAAATCATAGTACCCATTTACCTTAACACTCAATGACAACAATTAACATACTGAATAATACGTGATGCTAAAACCTACAAATACATATTTACCCATGAGGAAAGCAATCAAAAGTGCCACACTTTGTGCAGCAATTCTTTTAGCAAGGCCACAACTGAGTCAAATATGAGTACCTGACTCCATCTACAGGCTACTAACAGTCTTTAAAAGACCTGGAGGAGGGTTGGGAGATGGCTTGGCAGCATAAGCTCCCACCTGGCAAGCATAAGGTCCCGAGTTTGATCTCTGGTACTGCATGGCATGCCAGCCTGGAACCCTGGGTGTGCTGTGCTGGTCACTGAAACCAGGTGTGGTGGCACACACTTGTAATCCCAGTGCTCAGGAAGTTGAGACAGGAGGATCACTGTGAGTTTGAACCATGTAGTGAGAGCCAGCTATAAAAAAGAAAAGACAAAGACCTGGAGGCACAGCCAGGTGGGTGGTGCATGTCTGTAATCCCAGCTCTGGAAGCTGAGACATGAGGAATGTGACAAGTTCTAGGCCTGTCTGGGCTGCAGAGTGAGTTCAAGGCCAGCCTGAATGATAGCCAGACTCTTGTCTCAGAAAGAAAAAGAACACAGCCAAGAGGAATACTCTGTAACTGATAATAACTAAAAGAACCAAACAAGATTTTTCCCCTGGGAAAAAGAATGTAAAATACAGATGAGTGTGAAGATCAGTGTTCAGAGAAACAAAGCAAAGAATGAACATGTATAAATAGTGACTAGCTACTGTACTGGGCACTGCAACCCAGAGCCTTCCCATCATGGCAGGACAGACAGTGGCAGAGCCACAGGCACGATCGCTCATGGGTTAGCACATATACTGGTAGCACTGCAGTTCCAAGGACTACTCTGTAGCTCTTTAGTTTTTACTTCTTTTTGTTCACTGCAGTAACCTGAACATGTTTTTGTTCCCTGAAATCTACAAACCCTAACAAAAAACAAGAAGTCACCTGATCACTGCCAATTTTAGATCTGGGCCAGGGAACATCTAGAAGGGCCTGTAATGCATGTAAACAAGCAGTAATGCTTTCCATGGTTGCATCTGAGCGTAATGAACATAGAAATTCCACACTGATTCCTGTGGAAAGCAAAAAGAGGAGGCATGTTTGAATTCTTAGTTTATGAAGTTATTTTCATATCTTTTATTTTTATAAGGTATACAAATAAGCTTAGCAAAAAAGTAGTATGAGTAAATGACAATGAATTTAAGACTACAAACAAGCAATGAGGCCAATCTTCAGTTAGCATAATCATTCCTCAAATAAGCCTCACTGGTTTCAATACTGACACTATCTCAAGTTTATAAGGCAAATCTCTTAAATTGCTTTTATCACACATACACAGATTATTCTCAAATAGGCCTGTATATAATTTGCTTAGTTGCTATTAACAGTTAGAGATGCACAAATTACAACAAAATTGTACCAAAGAACTTTGTACTCTTTAATAACTAAAATTTGAGTAATTACTATATATCAGGCACCACACTTTATATAAATTATTGTATTACATTCTCGTACCTATTGAAGTAGGCACTATTATTACATTTACTGACTGACTGAGCTGGAATTAAAGGCCAGGAACTTGTACATACTACTGGAAGTGCCCAACCACTGAGCCATATCTGTAGTCCTTTAAAGTCTGTTTTAAGACAAGTTCTTATACAAAGGGAACTGACAACTGTTTTGACACCAGAGCCTCACACATTAAATACATGCCTTAATATCAAGCTTCCCTTACAGCCCCTGGAAACACATTTTTAATACACTCAAGGATACAGGAATCTGGCATGTCTGGCCTGGGAATGAATAATTAATTGAAATATCATAAGCCATGAATCTTACTGAATTTAATTATTTACCTTTATGGCCTTCATATTTCATTTACTCAGTAAGTTCTTTATGGATAATACATTTTCCTTAGAACTAATTAAATATGTAACATTTTATTTTTTTCTACAAACTTCCTATATTATTTAAGAAATTGTTTTAGAAACTAGTTAAATATCTAACATTTCATTCTATTTATTCTATGAATTTACTGTATTATTTTTAAAAAACCCTTACTATAAAAACCCCTTACTGGAATTAAAGGTGACACAACAGCTACAATTCCAGCCCTCAGGAGGCTGAGGAAGGGCTACTTCAAGTTCAGGGCCAGCCTGGGCTAATGAGTTCACAGATTGCCTGAACTATACAACAACACACTGTTTCAAAAAGCAAAACAAAAAAATCCTTTTGTTTGTGTTTTTTTTTGGCAGATCCGGGGATTGAACTCAGGTCCTTGCACTTGCCAGGGATGTGCTTATTCCACTGAGCCATCTACCCAGCCCCCAAAAAATCCTTTTAAAAAATGTAGTTTTGGTAGAGGTCTTGCATGTGTGAGGCTTGGGCCCACCACTGCACCAAAAAGAAAAAAGACCTGATAAAGCTAGAAAATGGATTCAGCTTCATAAATTTAAAATTATCTTAAGTTTGACCTTTAATATTTATTTACAATTCCATTCCACTGAACATACTTTTTTCTTTTCTTTTCTTTTCTTTTCTTTTCTTTTCTTTTTAATATGGGGGAATTGAACCCGGGACCTTTTATCAAACTACATCACCATCCCTTTTTTATGTATTTTATTTTGAGACAGGGTCTCACTAAATTGCTTAACTGCCCTGGCTGTGCTTGAACCATGAATCCTCCTGTCTCAGCCTCCCAAAGTTCTGGGATTATAGATGTTTGCCTCCTTGTCCACCTTGGACATACTCTTCTTTTGGGGAAAGCGTCTCACTACATAGTAGTTTGGGCTGACCCTGAATTAACTATACATCCTAGGCAGGCCTGGGCTTAAGAGTGAATCTTCTGTCTCAGCCTCCTAAATGCTGGGACTATGCTCAGTTTGAACATACTTTCTTAAAACTTCAATTGTTTAGAACAAGGAAGCCAATCCCTCAGCATATAACTTTTTTTTTTTTTTTGGTGTACGTATTAAGAAATTCATAATATCTGTAGACACCACATGGATCTTTTTGAAAATTGTGTGGAAAGAACCAGGCCTCTCTGTGATTTTAATAATTTATTCAAACTGACACTGAAGTCAACCTTTCTTATTTTGTTTTGTTGTTTTGAGATAGGATCTTGCTACATAGTTCAAGCTGGCTGCCAACTAGTGGCCATCCTCCAGCCTCTGCCTCCCAAGTGCTGGATTATAGGCCTGTTACACCACACCCAGCACACTAATGTCAATTTGTAATATGATTCTAGACATAATATAATAAAATTTGTAAGTTTACAGCAAGAAGACATAACTCAAGAATAATCTGCTTAGCACTGTAAATCTATTACTGACCTAAAATCAGATGGAATCTATCAGTGTAGATTTCCTCAGGGGACTTGACTCCAGCCCCAGATGATGAACCCTGACACATGGAAGTTGGTGTCACAGGCCTTGAGAGATTAGATGCTCCTTCATCTGGGTCAGCAACAACAAAGCCTGTGTTTGTAAGCCACAGTGCGGTAGCATGGAGGATAAGGGCCCATGAGTTACAATAATGCAGCTTTGCATTTTCACTCGTCTCTGCTGTATAGAAAGTGCCACCTACAGGAAAAAAAAAAGTTTTAGGAGGAAAGCAAGATTTTTTCCAATATATTTTCCCTTTCTTTGTTACAAAAACCATTTTATCATTCTGAAAGTTCACTTATACCCCAAAGCAACTACTTTCTGGTTTTTATGAGCACAGATTAGTCCTGTTTGTTCTTAGGTTTCATATAAATAGAATCGTATCAGTAATATGAACTTGTTTCTGACTGATTTTACTTTGCCTAACAATGTTTCTGGAGATCCAGTTATGCTGCTACACTACCAATATTTTGTTACCAATCTTATTATTTCTTCTGGGATTACAACTGTTGGGTTACAGGGCTGATTTACTTAACTTTATAAAAAGTTTTCATGCCAATTCCTAATTTTTTATAATTTAACCATAATATTCAAAAATATGTATTTAGGATAACCCACTACTATTATGGACTACTGGACTATATTGGATTATTTTTCTGAATTCACAAACTTACAATATTTGCAATGGCAATGGTATACCTCTCTCTGACAAAACTAAACAAAAAAGGGGGATATAAATGAAGGACAATTTTTTTTTCTTTTCAAAGTTTTATTTGTAAACATATAGCAATGAGACAGTTTCAAATCAAATCAAAAGTACAGTTTCAACAAATAATACACTGCATATATTCTTCTTAGTGGTTAATTGCTGTACAAGATGCAGACTTGTGATCCTA